GCCAAAGTAGGAGGTGGAACAATGTTTTGTGTAGTATGTTATGCCAATTGAGCTTGATGTCCCCTGCGACTATGGTCTCGAGCCCACAGGTTCAACTACTTGCTCCCTCAGGGTAGCTGGCTGTGACCAGTAATTGACTACAACCTTGTCCCTTGTCAGCTTTACTATACCCCTGGGAATTCTTACAGAACATACAAATGCACTTGTAGAACCATTGTCTGCCAATCCTACACGTGGTCTTGGGTGCACTCCCTGCTGTATAGACATACCTAGTAGTTCAGCCTACCCACCCATCTATCCACCTGTATACCCGTATTTGCCTTCACTGACAACATGGTACCGTATGTGCAAAAGGGTTCATCTTTGTTGTCTGCTCCTCCCATGTACCTCTCTATGTCTTCCTCTTCCTCAATGCCACCATGTTGATCACTCATATTTGGTACATTACCTTTCTCTTCTTTTCAACAAAAAATTTATTATTAAGTACTTATTATCAGGAGGGACCAGTTCTTGGAGAAGGATATGATGCTTAGTAAAGTAGAGGGTCAGCAAAAAGGTGAAGACTCTCAAGGAAATGAATTGACAAGGATTGTGAGGATGGTATAGGACCAGGCAGTGTCTCTTTCTATTGTACATAGGGTCGCTATGAGTTGAAACCAACTCTATAGCACCTAACAGTGCATTATATTTCAAAGGAGCCCTGGTTGCACAGTGGTAAGGACTATCTGCTAACCAAAAGGTAAGCAGGTGTGAACCAACCGGCTGTTCTGAGGGAGAAAGATGTGGCAGTCTGCTTCCATAAAGATTTACAGCCTTGGAAACCCTAAGGGCACTTCTAACTCTGCCCTATTAGGTCGTTGTGAGTTCAAATCACATTTCTTAGGCAATGGGGACACAGCAGTGGACAATAAAAGCAGAGAAATAAAGAATTTTAGGACAGAGTGATGCCAGTTGGGATAAAGTACTGCATATTATGATCCCTCAGAACTGAGAAACTAGGAAGGATTTTCCAAACAGCATGAAGGAAGGTTCATGTTTCAGGTAGAGGCATGAGCATTTGCTGGGAAGAGGAATTAGCTAGTTTTCATGTAGGAGAAAAGAGTTCATTATAGTTGGAATAGAAGAAGCAGGGGCCATTTAGGAGAGCTGAGATTTGCAGGGAATCAAATCATGCAAGGCCTGCAAGACTGTGTGAAGAGGCATATGAACTTTATACTGAGGGAAACTTGTTGAAAAATTTTCAGGTTGGGAAATTTCAACTAAAATGTCCCCTTTATCAGACAACAGTCTACACTAACCATAGCCTAATTCACCTTGAGACCAGAAGAACTAGATAGTATTCTATGATACCACTACAAATTATTTTAATCAGGGCCACTATAAATGGACCTTGATGGAATATGAGATAAATGTGAAACAGAACCTCACATTCCTTTTAAAGAAAAAAAAAGACCTATTGGACTGGTTGAGATTGGAGGACTCTCCAAGACTATTGCCCTGAAATATTCTTCACAACTTCAACCAAAGCTAACCCTTGAGGTCATTTTGTAGCTAATTAACAAATTGGCTCAAAAAATAATGAATATCACCCATAAGTACTGTGCTCCTTTAAAAAAAAATCACCTATATGAGACCAACTGGTCAACAATTACTTTAAACAAAGATGAGAATATAAAAGAGCAGAGAAACTAGATTAATGGAAATGAAACAACCAGAACTGAAATAATAAGAATGATCATGTAACCAATGCCACTGAACAATTTGCATAGGTATGGTTGAATGGGGAGCTCTGGTAGCATAGTGCCTAAGGCACTTGACTGCTAACCATAAGGCTGGCTGTTCAAACCCACCAGCCACTCCTTGGAAGGAAGGTTGGGCGATCTACTTCCGTGGTGATACAGGCTCGGAAACCCAAGGAGAGGTCCGACTCAGCAGCACATAACAACAACAACAGCATGGTTGAATGGGAACCTAAACTACTATGTAAACACAATAAAAAAA